ATAGCTTTCTAGGTTTGTGACAGGCTTGGAAGGAGAGTGAGCCACTGAAAAACAGAGAAGCTAAGTCTGGTATGAGCAAGGATGGGAAATGGTCTGAGCCAAAGCAGAGGAGAAAAGTGTTAACACTCGTTGGAACAACAGAAAAGTCTCCCTTCCTGCACACCTGCCACCACTTTCCACCTAAGTGGAAAGTCCAAGAGTGCTGCCGTTTGCTGGAAGCAATGGGTCTCTGAGGCCTGGGAGATGTCACCTCTTTCCTAAACTTTCAGACCACTCCTCTCTATTCCCATGGCCACTGCAGGCATTTCCAAACCTGACTCCTAGAAAGGCTTACCTCTACCACCTCCCCTCTCCACCCCATTTTCCAACGTGCTGCCAGGGAGATCTATCCTAATGCAAATTGGATCCTATCACTCCTTTCCTTAGAATCTTTCAGGTGCTCCAAATCCCAAATCCTTAAAACATGCAGAGTCTTCTTCCCCGGTGCGGCCCCTGCCTGCCTCCCTAGCCCTGGGGCTGCTCCCTTCCACCACAGGCAATTCCATGGGACTTCTGACTTTCCCTCCGCCCTCCCTGCCACCGCACCTGCCTGGTCCTCCAGCGTCCAGCCCAGCCATCTCTGCTGGGAAGCTGCCTCCCGCACCTCCTCCCATGGCTGTGTACGTACCTCAAGAATGGCACTTACTGCAAAGGGCTGGTTCCACAGAACCCATTTCCCCATGGCCAAGAGGTGCATTTCACTCATTTTTAGGCTCCCAACACCCAGCCCCACACCTAACCCTGCACCGAGCACAGAAGGTTTGCTCAGTTAATATTGATAAAACTGGGGCTAGGTTCAGATCTGCAGGTGATTAAACGAAGTTTGTAGGGAGAAAACTTGTGCAGGAAGTCTGTGTAAAAATGTGACATCAAAAAAGGAGCCAATAAAGGCACCTGAAAGATACAGCTGGACCATCACAGCTCCGAGGTAATGGGCCTCTAGCCCACACTGTACCCCCCACCCCCCAACCAATGACATGACCATCAGCTGTGGGGATCAGAGTAAATTCTACCATAAATAGTTGGGAACCCAAAGCAACCAAACAAGCATCTAAACAAAACCTTTTTGCCTGAACCACCTGACTTGTTCCTGATAATTCCCTTTATTGAGAACACTTTTCCTCTCTCAGCAAAGTTTGAACCACAGAAATGCAAAATAAATAATAAATCAGCACACTAAATATACTACCTACATCTTAGCTATAAAAGATGTTTCTATCATTTTCTACATGAATAGGAAGAAATGGTGGATTTTATTCACTGGTTAATGGGGGGGGGAGGGTAGTCCTGGAGGCAGAGCAGCCAAGAACGCTTTTTTGCACACCTGACCCACAGAACCTGCCTGGACATGTGATCTCCACCAGCACCAGTGCAGTGCATAAGGGCTAGAAGCCACCTATTTCCACTACTGCGTACGCGTCACCTCTGCATTTGGTTGCTGGAGCTGATTTAGAAAATAAGGGGTGTTTTGCAAAAATGCTCTCATGCCAACAGGTTGCCTCATTCACAAACGTTTGGGCACAATTTCTGGTGGCCCTGAGTAAAGCAAATATGGAAAAGATGCTCACAGTAAGATTTACCAACTTTGATTCTCTAGTCAGGTTCATGTCAAACAAGGAGGCAATCCTTACAAGTAAAGCACCAAACAGTGCTTCAAAAGTAAGCAGAAACCCACTGGTAGAAAAAAAAAAGAAGGGCCCTAAATCCCAGTCTACTACAGGGCACCCTTCCATACATGTACATAAAACATTTATATCATATAACCGGGGACCACATCTAGTTTAAAAAGTTTTTCTTTTTGTCTTTTGCAAATTAGCTGATGATAGATGTTTTACCCAGGAACTACGTCAAAAATGACTCTACTGTTCTGGCCACTACAGGCATTTATATTTATATTTATAGAGGAATTACACAGACATCTTCAGTACCTGAGTGGATTTTAAATTACACAACTATTAGTAATGACAATCCAGTACTAGGAGGAATACGTTAGCCAAGAGCTTTAACGTAACTCTGCATTATAAAACCAGAGGCACAGGTTAAAAGTATCATCTTCATTTCACCAGAACCTCCTCTCCCATAGGTGGAAATTATAATTATTTTGTTAAAGGCTATATACCATCAGCCTATTTCTGTTAACCTTTAAAAAGACTTACTACTTTACAATGACATAAACTTTCTATTGGCATGCTAAACATTTGCGCTTGTTATAAAATCAGTGCAACCCGAACTGAATTTGTATAACCAAAAACTGCTGAGATACTAGTTGCCTGACATAAAATGTTGAATTGACCCCTATACACAGTAAAGTATCAATATCAGTGGCCTATGGAGGGAAGGGTGAAGGAGGAGTAGAGATATTTAAGTTTTTATTAAACATAGTTACCGTTTGACTTGATAGAACCAGCATAAATTACATCTGTAATTAAAAATAAGAACCTATTGCCACATAAGATAAATTTTATGATGCCTCATCTGGTAAACACAGACTAGACCAAATTAGTTTTCTTTCTAAACTGAGGTCTACTGATGGCACAGTGGAACAAACAAAGCGCAGAGTCTCTCGCTCACTTTGATTTCCATTTGGATTTTTATCCTATTTACAATACTCAATACAAACAGTAACACCTCACCATAACAGACAAGAGTATATTCCTATGAGGGGCACCTGGGTGGCTCAGTCGCTTAAGCATCTGCCTTTGGCTCAGGTCATGATCCAGGGTCCTGGGACTGAGCCCCACACCAGGCTCCCTGCTCAGCGGGGAGTCTCCTTCTCCCTCTGCCCCTCTCCCTGCTCCTTCTCTTTCCCTCACTCTCTCTCTCAAATAAATAAATAAAATATTTTTTAAGTATATTCCTATGAAACAGACTGTGCTACTTTATTATAACTTTTTAAAGTTTGCTATTACTTACACTTTTATGTAATCATGATTTACCAGTAAAGCCTGCTAAATAGTAGCATTATACATTATCTGACAGCTGAGTGACCAGGTGGAAAGTGGACTAATGCACACAGGTCTTGCAAGTCAGAAAGCCTGGGTTCGAATCTTAACTAGCTATACAAAAAGCTTGGCAGATCAACCTGTGAGCTTCAGTTTTCTCTCTAACAACAACAAAAAAAGAATACTATTGGCTCCCTCCATCTAATAAATTGTTCTCAAATGAATGAAAGGTAAAGCTAAATCATGAAGTATAAGCCCCTCTATTCAATTTGTTCCTGGTCAACAAGGAAGTTATCAAGTTCTTTGGATGTAAGTGAGCAGTGCCTATAATAGCCAAGATATGAAAACAACTTAATTGTCCAAGTACAGATGAATAAAGATGTGGTGGGTATGTGTGTGTGTGCATATATATAACCATCACCACCACCACACGCACCCCTGACCACGCTCCTCACCCTTGCATGTGGGCAATGGAGTATTATTCAGCCATGAGAAAGAAGGAAATCCTGCCATTTGGGACAACATGGATGGAACCTGGAGGGGCATTATGCCAAGTGAAATAAGTCTGACAAAGACAATTACTGTATATCACTTGTAGGTGAAATCTACTAAAGCTGAACTCACAGAAATAGTAGAATGGGGGGGAGGGGATGTTGGTCAAAAGGCACAAACTTCCATTGTAAGACAAGTTCTGGGGATCTAAGGTACAGCATAGTGATTATAATACTGTATCCTGTACTTGAAAGTTGCCAAAAGAGTTTACTTCAGATGTTCGCACCACAAAAAGGAAATGGTAATTATGTAAGGTGATGGAGGTGTTGGTTAAAGCTATAGTGGTAATCATTTTGCAACATATAAATATCAACTCAGTACTTTGTACATCTTAAACTTACACAACGTTATATGTAAACTGTATCTCAATACAGCTGGGGAAAAAATGATAAAGAAAAAACCACACCTAGCTCCTAAAATTAAGTTACTTCTAAAGTTATTAGAGAAAAACAGGACTTTAGGACATGAGCAGGAACTGCTATGTTTTAAACTGATTTGGCATGCAGGAAACAGACTCAGAGTCTCTGAACAGACCACCACGGTAATTTAATTGCCAGTCTTCTGGAGGGACCCAGTATGTCATCATTCCCTGACAGTGATGGTCTCCCTTCTCCAATTGTTTTCCCCTTCCCCACCTCCTCCCATTCCTTTTGATTGCTGTGGTTGTTTTACTCTTAAACAGCTCTCCCTCCTTTCTGTCTACAACTTGTAAACATTTTAAACTCTAACTAGAAATGATAACACCCAGGCTTGGCTTCCACCCCCCACCCCCGGCCCGCCAAGCTCCAGGGGCCCTCTGGACTCGTAGAAATGTCCTGAGGGCCGCCCGGACTACGTCTTACTCCAATCACTGCCCCCGCGGGCTCTGCGGCTGAAAAAAAAGGATCCCTGGCCGCCACCCGCGGCCACAAATCGGTTCCCGGGGCGCCCCACCCAGCCCTCACCCTTCCTCCCAGAGCCGATCCTTCCTTTCTTTCGCTTTACAGCGGATGCAGGTGGGTCACACCCCTGCTCTCCGAACCGGGGTGGGCTCTCCGCCTCGCCGCCCTCCGGAATCCCCAGTGCAGGTTCGAGGGGGAGGAAATGACCCAAAAGTTGCTGCTTCTGAGTCAAGACTTCGGCGCGCGGAGCCCTCCCTGTATCTAGCATGACTGCTCAGAGGCTGCGGCCGCGGCCCGCCCAGACACTGTTCTCGGCAGCCCGTGCGCGCCCCGCGCCTCCCCGGCCTTCACGCGGGC